TATTTGGAGGATTTTCTTGCCATGTTGTATTTGGAGATCATCACCAGGCAGACACTTAAATTGTTTTATTTAACTAAAACAACAATGTTATATATTCTGGATTTTTTCTTCAATAGCAAACATACTATTTTAACAAAACAAGCAAATGAATTTTTGAATTTAGTTAAACATTGAAGTTTTTTAAAATCAGGTTTGTTTTTGTTAAAATTGTTTTTAACTAAAATAGTTAAATTAAATATTTTTAAAAAGCAAAAATTAAATTCACTATGTCAATCAGGTCAACATGAGAAACTTAAAATACTGGCTTTTGCAGCTAACTCAGTTGTCTTCACCTTTATTTTCCTGTTTGTTCATAATTAATCTGGAAAAGAAAAACAAAATTTCCTGCTTTTCTCTCAGTTTGGAATGAATTAATCCAAAGGAAGAAGGAATGAATTAATCCAAAGGAAGAAAATATTCTTTCTACTGCTCTTAAAAGTGAGATTATCACTTCAACCATCTCTGAATTCAAGTGCTTAAGTGACTTTCACCAGTTCACTAGAGAGACTTGCTTTAAAACATCAGGAGCAAACTCTGAAGTTTCTTATAGTTGGCATTATGAAGGGATGATTGCTAGATGCCCATGTCATAGCCAACTCCTCTTTTTCAGCACTTAAAGGTTTGACCCTGGTACCGAGTATTGAGAATATCTGCAAGCAAATTACCTGGAGTCAATGCTTGCTCCATTCATTTTTTTAATTAGTGTAATTTACCTCTGTCATTGCATATTTCTCTTTTTAAGATCTCACTCAGTTCCTTCCAAATTTCAACAGCATTAGCAATAAAACACAAAATGGATGACTAGGCAAGAAAATGGAAGATGAAATATGATGATGATGGGGAGTGAAATATAATGCATATTGGAAAACATAATTCCAGTTATACATACAAAACAAGGCTAAAATGTTAGGAACCATTAGAAAAGGTAATAAGACAGGTCAAGTAATATGCTGCTATATAAAGCCTGGTTATACTACCATTTTGAATACTGCATCCAGTTGGAATAACACGTCTCAGAAGAGACACTGGATATGGAAATGTATAAAGAATGGCAATAATAAGGGTCCAGAGTGACCTAGACAGATCAGAGGATTGGGCCAAAAGAAATCTGATGAGGTTGAACAAGGACAAGTGTAGAGACCTGCACTTGGGACGGAAGAATCTCAGGCATTGTTACAGGCTGGGGACCGAATGGCTAAGTAGCAGTTCTGCAGAAAAGGACCTGGGGATTACAGTGGATGAGAAGCTGGATATGAGTCAACAGGGTGCCCTTGTAGCCAAGAAGGCGAATGGCATATTAGGGGGCATTAGGAGGAGCATTGCCCGCAGGTCTAGAGTAGTGATTATTCCCCTTTATTCGGCTCTGGTGAGGTCACATCTGGAGTAGTGTGTCCAGGTCTGGACCCCTGACTATAGAAAGGATGTGGACACATTGGAGAGGGTCTAGCAGAGGACAATCAAAATGATTAGGGGGCTGGAGCACATGACCTATGAGGAAAGGCTGAGGGACTTGGGTCTGTTTAGTCTGCAGAAGTGAAGAGTGAGGGGGGATTTGATAGCAGCCTTCAACTTCCTGAAGGGAGGTTCCAAAGAGGATGGAGAGAGGCTGTTCTCAGTAGTGACGATGGCAGAACAAGGAGCAATGGTCTCAAGTTACAGTGTGGGAGGTCTAGGCTGGAGATTAGGAAAAACTATTTCACTAGGAGATGGTGAAGCACTGGGATGGGTTCCCTAGGGAGGGGGTGGAATCTCCATCCCTCGAGGTTTTTAAGTCTCAGCTTGACAAAGCCCTGGCTGGGTTGATTTAGTTGGGATTGGTCCTGCCTTGGGAAGAGGGATGGACTTGACCACCGGGCCTATTACTTAGGGTTGCCAGATGGCTGTAACAAAAATACTGAACATCCCTCCTCCTTCCCCCCTCCCCCAAATAAAGAAACCCACCAGGAAAAATGTTGTTGAAGGAAAAAAAAGGGGGGGACACCAAAGTTATTGAGCAAGAAAAAAAGGACTCCAAGGAAGGGTGCCCTTGTAGCCAAGAAGGCGAATGGCATATTAGGGGGCATTAGGAGGAGCATTGCCCGCAGGTCTAGAGTAGTGATTATTCCCCTTTATTCGGCTCTGGTGAGGTCACATCTGGAGTAGTGTGTCCAGGTCTGGACCCCTGACTATAGAAAGGATGTGAGCACATTGGAGAGGGTCTAGCAGAGGACAATCAAAATGATTAGGGGGCTGGAGCACATGACCTATGAGGAAAGGCTGAGGGACTTGGGTCTGTTTAGTCTGCAGAAGTGAAGAGTGAGGGGGGATTTGATAGCAGCCTTCAACTTCCTGAAGGGAGGTTCCAAAGAGGATGGAGAGAGGCTGTTCACAGTAGTGACGATGGCAGAACAAGGAGCAATGGTCTCAAGTTACAGTGTGGGAGGTCTAGGCTGGAGATTAGGAAAAACTATTTCACTAGGAGATGGTGAAGCACTGGGATGGGTTCCCTAGGGAGGGGGTGGAATCTCCATCCCTCGAGGTTTTTAAGTCTCAGCTTGACAAAGCCCTGGCTGGGTTGATTTAGTTGGGATTGGTCCTGCCTTGGGAAGAGGGATGGACTTGACCACCGGGCCTATTACTTAGGGTTGCCAGATGGCTGTAACAAAAATACTGAACATCCCTCCTCCTTCCCCCCTCCCCCAAATAAAGAAACCCACCAGGAAAAATGTTGTTGAAGGAAAAAAAAGGGGGGACACCAAAGTTATTGAGCAAAAAAAAAAAGCACTCCAAGGACCTAGGGGTAACCAGGTAGTCATTTAAAAAACAAAAAAAAACAAAACACAAAACACAAAAAACAAACACACACACACACACACACACACTCTTACTTTTCATGAGGGGGGAGAGGAGGAGACGACACCAGCCAGATGTTGGCCGGGAACAGGGTGGCTTGG